CCATCCACGAATATTCTGATGGATTTATTGAAGTTTATTTTCAAAGCATGTACGGTTGTGTGAAGATAGGTTTTCTGCCTGGCAAAATATTATGAGATACAGGTCAGATCCTCTCATCAATATAATGAATCAATATTCATTTCTCGAAGAACATTCTGCAGTGAATTTTCATTAATCATTGGAAATAGTCGTAGCTGTTCTCCAATTTACAACACATTTTGGATGCCGCTGACGCCGTGTGCAGTAGACTCACGCTACAAACCCATGGCTAGAAATTCGTGGCTGCCTTCACACTCGTGCAACTTTGACCCAATTTAAGTATCTTCGTATTTCCCATAGTTTTTGATATCCCAATGGTGAGCATCGAATTTGAAACACCCTGTATATGTGTTTTGGGATGTTCAATCTGGATCTTAATAGGCACTTCCCGAAAAACTTCGAATCGTTACCACTTTCCTCTGTATTTCAAGGATAACTCGAAAACTAAGTACTTTTTGAAGAAATATTTTCTCTACAAAATTCATGTATCTATTTTAAATTTCATATTAAACTGGACACCACTATAGCGTAATGAAAAAAGACCAATTTCTGACGTTGACTTTTGAATGAAATATTGTCCTGAAAAATTTTTGAGAACAATATCGTGATCAAGTGATAAGTTATTCACAAATTATATTCAAGGGGTGGAATTGTCAATCATGCGAAGTTATAAAACAATGGCCATCTCGAAGTCGTATAAAATTATATCTTCAATCCTCATACATAATTCAGCAGCTTCGATTGAATTCGGTACTTATTAGAATCGAAAACAGCTGTTTAATAACGAACCTCTACGGGAGTGGATTGACTGAATTACATGTAAACACCAATTAACTCTCATTAGCATCAATCACACTTCGTTTCAGAGAATATGATGACGGAAACTGGCCCAATGTAACCTCTAACAATACGTTAATATGATTTATTCAAATTTTATATGCAATTCCATCGATAGTATGATGAAATATAAAAAGAAAACTGAAAGTAAAAATCGAGGAACGTATGTTTTTGGTTATTTTTATGCAGAACTTTTTATTTGGCGAATCCTCAATACGACGGATATTAAAAATGGTAGAAAAATAGAGTCAACTATCATAGATAAATAAAATAGACAATAAAAAATATTGTAAAGTGCTTACAGCAGTCACTTTCTGTATTACTTGATTTGGCTTACTGAATCAGTAAACCGATTATAGAAAACACTTTAACTATACTAAAATTCTCAGAAATACTTGTGAAGCACTGTAGTAATCAATATTACTGCAGTTTTTTCCACCAAACCGTTACTTCAACATCTCGAAACGTGTTTCGATCACCAAGTAATCACCTTCAATAGGAATATCAAACTGTATATTTCATCATGTTATTACATAAGATGACGAGTTCTGTCAGAATTGAAGTGTGTGAATAGACAATTATCTAATAAAGATAATTAATTTCAATTTGTGCGTTGCTAATTTTGAACATTTTTGGTCCGTGAAATGAGCACAGTCATACCCATTGATGGTTATTAAAAAGAACGTTGAATTGAAAGTTGACCTAGTTCTGAAAATTTCAAAATTCAAGCATTTCTGTTTTTGGGTTACTTATAAGGAAACAATGATGAGGTTTATGATTTTTGACATTCGTGAAATCGGATCAATTCCCTATCTAAGCAAGTTGATTCTTTAGTATAATAGTTTCAGACATTTCTCTTTTATAATCCTACGACTATTATCATTAACTCAATGAGTTATTACTATTTTATTCAAAAAGGGAACTCCTTTCAGGATATATTTATTTTGACGACTTCATTCGATGACAGTTTATTGTGAGACATCCACTAAGCGGTTTGAAAAACCACAACGCGTGTTTCGCTATGGAATAGCTTCATCAGGAGTGTTCTAACAAATTCATATATTTTTTTTTCAATGAAATAATTTATACGGCATTGACAACCTAAACTTGGAACAATAATGAAATACAAATCAATTCAAAGAACTAAGATTATAAAAAAAAGAAAGAAGAA